AGTAGCAATAGAAATAGAAGTGAAATTTTAACAAATTATTATGTAAACATATGTACTGAAAACCTAATTTTATTTAATAAAAGAGTGGAATTGAGCTGTGGCGATGCCATAGATCAGTAGGTCTGGACCGCCATATCCATTCAAGGTGGCAGGTCACAGTTTTGAGTAGTGGGTCACACCACCATCCATGACTGAATCAATTAACCCATTCCAAGAATGGCATGATCATCATAAAATATTTGGTCAGACCTCTCACTCAGCAAAAAATTTTCATAATCAAATAAAATTTCAGAATGCTTTGTTGTAGAGGAAAGTGAGATTTGATAGACTAAAACATAATAAAATTTCAAAATATATTTTTTTATAATTTCAAATTCATTGCAGGCCAGGCTATATTTATGAATCAGATATTACAGGAGATGTAACAGGAAAAAGTGAAATTCAAAAAAGAAGTATTATTATTTCCATTAACAGCACGAATAATAAATTTTGTCTCATTGAGTTTCTAATTGAACATTCATATAGGAACACATGTTTGTTTTTCTCCTTCAGGCATTTTTCAATTATTGAAAGCCCACCTAGTTTACAACGAATAGGTCACAATGAAGTGTTGGAACAAGTTACCAACAGCAATAAATTGAGGTTTATGTTTTGTGAAGACATCATAAGTTAATTGTGAGGAAATTGAGATTTATGAAATTTTATATGTTTTATTAAATGTAGATCATTTGCTCCGATTGATAGACGAATTGGAAATTTCATTTCAACAAATCTATATGTCCTATAAAAATTAGGTGCTAAATAGATACTAATACTAGATACGTATTAATGTGGAAAAAAGTATTTTTGGTAGAAAAACACATTTTGATATTTGTATTAATATGAATACGTATCAATATAGAACATGGAAAAATATACTCCGTACCATATTCGCTTATTAATATTAATATTATTAAATATATCAATAATAATAATTACTTTTAATTCTATCCAATTCAATTAAAACTTTGAATGATTAAAACTAAAGCTAATATAATAATACATGTAAGAACGGATGATGCTTTTATGCAAAAATATTTCCTTATTTATATCTCTTTGATCAAGATTGACAAGGTTTTTCATTAATAAACTGACTGAACACAGACTTTCCGCTTAACTTAACGTTAGTCATTAATAATATTAATAATAATAATAATAATAATAATAATAACAGATTCATCGTACGGAATGTTACGAAGCGCAAAATTAACGTATTTTAGTTCACCTTAAGTTTTATTATAAAAGGTATTTCGATTCGTATTATTAATATTATTAATATTAATAATATTACTTACTCTTTTATTGGACGTAACTTTATTCTCCATTTACGTTGACACGTAAACCTTGCTTATCTCTCAAATTATAATAAATACTTATTTTATTTATTTTCGCTACATATGTATATTGTAAAATAATCATTATAATTTGCATGAAACCTACGCAACGTAAAAATTATAACCAAAAATGAAAAATAAACATCAATATAAGATGAAAGTAAAAGAAGAGTGCAATTTATATTGTCAAAAATTTTAAAGTAATAAATAAAGCTATCAAAAGAACTAAAGAGCAGATACTATCTTATTTACTATTTAAAATGGAATGGAAACCAACAGTTAATATGTTTACAAAAACAATTATATTGACTGCAATAATAGTAAATGATGAAAATACTTACTTCCCATTTATTATTTAAAATATAACGAAAATCAATCAATGGTTAATTGACTGTAATAATAATAGATTATGAAAATACTTACCCACTATTTATTATTTAAAATAAAATGAAATAACAGTTAATTTCAAAAACAATGATATTGACTGCAATAATAGTAAATGATGAAAATACTTACTACCTATTATTATTTAAAATAATATGGAAACTATAGTTAATATGTTTCAAAGCAATGATATTGACTGTAGTAATAGTAAATTATGAAAATACTTACATGCTATTCATTATTAAAATAAAATGAAATCAACAGTTAATATTTTTTTCAAAAACAATGATATTGACTTAATGTCAATTGTATATCTTTGGGTAGATTGTCTTAAGGCCCTGTATTCTAAATCTACACATTCTCCATCATCTAATATTGTTGTGGGCACTCTACTTAAAGTGTCAGTGTCACTGACAAATTTACGAATTCAATATAATAATAACAGACATTATTATTATATTTTGTTGTGTTAAAGGCAATGTAAAAGATATAGATGATTATGAGGATGTTGCATGTGAAATTGGAATTGAAATTAATAATTAAATATGGGGGCTCGAAATTTTCACTTGGTATTAGTATTATTAGTCGCTATACTTTTTGCAAGAAAATTGTGGTCAATTGATCTTAAATAGGATATTCCAACAATAATTGTTGGTGGAATTTTATGCAGAAGTTTATGTTATTATTATTATATGGAAAGTTCAAAATTTTAGTCGTATATGCATATATAAATATAAATATTAATATATTAATTAATTAATAATATCTTTAGCTGTCACCCAACCCAGGTGTTTTAATTCTTTCAATCGATTATCATTCATAAATAACTCTACCATCGAGTGAAGGTGTGTCTCCCATGAGTTTCTTGCAAGGATTTAGGTGATGGTTTGTAAATTCCCGGAAGACCAAGTGGTTGTCTTGGATCAATGATCATTTTAGTCCCTGAGAGATGACACTAGTATTAATATTAATTTTTACATCGCGTCGTGCTACCAAATAACAAAAGTTGTCTTATCATTTACAAAAAATCTTATTTCTATAATAGTAAAGGCAAATTTTTTTAATTTCAAAATCAAAAAATCAATTTTATACCGTAATTTTTACAAAAAAAAAAAAAAAGAAAAAAGATACTTGACTTTAAACCTCTTTTGTCACTCAAATATCTAGTGGTTATATTCAGATACCTTTCATAAAATTTTGATATCCGAATTCTCGAGGTTTAAAGATTTTCTGAAAAAAATATTTGTTGCGAAGTCCTATTCCTTTTTAGTATGTTGATTTTACTATGTTAGGAAGTTAAATTGGAATTATTTATTTTAACGCGCGTTGATGTGTGTAATCTTTTATTTTTCATTTCCGTTATTGAAACATAAAGGTAAAGTTCAACAATGCCTCCTAAACGCCAGAAAATAATCATTTAAGTTTTTAAATGACAAAAAAAACTTAGATTTTAATGGAATAATGATTGGTTCAAAAGGTAGATCTGAATTGTCATCTGACAGTGGGATTAGACGATGAAGTTTGGTATTATGAGAATGATTTTAACCTTCAATATTTGACAAAATGATGGCAGCAAGTGCAACTACTACCAATAATATTATTATTCGACGCTATGTCTCTAAACTTAACACTTTCTTTATTACGAATATTGTGTTTTTGTCTTTGTCATTCATTTTAAGTAATGAAATGAACGTTAAGAGAAAATTTTTTTATCGTTGACAAAAACTATTTGGACTGCATGTATAATTAAATTATGAACTTTTATTAATCGACATTGCAGGTGTATATATGGATATAAAGTATTTAATGAAAATTATATATTTATTATTTTCTTTAGTTTATACATATGAAATATAATCCTAATAACAAATGTATATTAAATGTCATCTGAATTATGCGCTAATGTTCCTTTCTGAATGCTATCTACTTGGCATCCAATCAACCAAGAAATATTAACACTCTTTGTTTAAACTTATAAATCTTTACCAGATAACTGGTTCAGGAACATCAGGTCCGAAATCATGTTTATAAAAATTTGATGTACAAGATCCCTCTTGAGGATCTTTATGACAAAATTTACAAATTTCCATACACCCGGGAGAATTTAAATCTTTAGAGCAACCATTGCAAACAGGTGTACAACCAATATTGTTGCCAACTTCAATGCCACAACATGAATAATAATCTTTACAACCGTTATTACCATTATTAGAATCAACTCCACAACAACCATATTTCTTCCTACACTTTGTCATTTGTTTACAACACTCATAACGATCACTGCAGCCTTCACTGTTAACTTCTCGTTGACAACAATCATAAACTGTTTCACATCCATTAGTGTCTGCTCCTACTATCTGATTACAACAATCATGTTTTTTTACACAAGGTTCAAAATTATTGCAACAATTATATTTTTCTCTACATCCAATACTGCCCTTTGATTGTTTACAACAAGCATAAGAACAGCCATCTGAACCTTCTCCCCAACCACAACATCCATGAATTTTTGGAGTATGAACAGTTCTCTGTGGATTAACAAGTGAAAATGTTAAAGCTCTTGCAATTACTGGAAGTACGTTATTATCATTAGTTTCATACTGGTGTCCTACTGCTGGTAATGGATGCACCGAATTTTCATTAGGATGGTATTCAATTTTTTGACCAGTATGACATGGTGTAACGGAACTAAATTTATGTTTTTTAATTCTCCCACCAGGATGATGTTTTTCTAATTTACCTGGATGGTAACCAGAAAGGCCAAATGGATGCTTTTTATAAGTATTTCCAGGATGAACGTTTTTAGGATGTTCATGTTTTCTTTCCGATTCACCATGACAATTGGAAATTGTTAATCTTGGATCATTCTCTTCTGGACATTTTAAGCATTTTGCTTCCTTAAATAGAATTGTAACAAGATGTTGATCATGGCCTTTCATTAATTCAATATACCGATTTAAGATTTTTTTTGGTTCCGTTTTTTTGAAAATCCTAAGATAAAAAAAAGATTTTTTTTTAATCGCTATAAAATAACTTTTAAACAATTAACATAAAAATTATTTATTTACCCCATTTTATTAAGTGAATCATCATCAAAAGCTTCGTATGTTTCTGTATCAAGATATTCATATAAATAAATATGAAAAACCTTAATATCTTTATTTTCGTGGTTTTTTTTTGATACTTCTTTTGCTGCTTCAATTGGACCTTGGGAAGCCGATTTGGATGACTTTTGACCTTTCATAACAATAATCACATTATCCCAAACATTGCCATCATAATATTGGGCAAGTGATTCGATGAATTTTGCTTGACGAACTAAAGATCCGAGTTTACGAGTTTCAGGAACAACAAACCAAAGAATTGTGTGTAGTTTAGTGATACCATTTTCATTCATAGTTTTGAGAATCGATAAAGCCGTTTGAGCATCGCCACCCTTCACTCCTTCGGAGTCATCAAAACCCTGCGTATCAATGTATAGGAAACCATTATCTCCACAAGTATATAACTTGGTTCCTTTGGTACATGAATCTGCACCATCAGATACTATCGCATCATCTGCTCCAAGAATTTTTGCCGTAAAACTTTTTCCGTTCCCTGATCTCCCAATAGCCAGAATACATTTTTTGTTTTCAGTTAGCTGGAAGAAAAAGTATTATAAAAATCAATATAATTTAGAGTTTTATTATTATTAAAAAGAGAAGAAAGAGGTGATAAACAAATTTATATATGACTAACTTGGCTGTTCTTTTTTTCTCCGTTTTTCATTTTTGTTTATACGTTTGAAAAAATAGCCACCGTATATTTATAAAAAATCTATTATTATTATTATTATTATTATTATTATTATAAATGGTTAGTTTGGAATTTCTTAATATGAGAATTAAAGAAAGATATAAAAACTCGATAGTGAACATTCGACAATTTATAAATAAAGATTCAATGGGCCGGCCGCTGTAACTCAAAAACTCTTAGTTTGGGTCACAGCATCGGCAAAACTCTACATGCATGGTATCACCAACAATTGCTTTATTTATAATCAATAGGCTACAAATCAAAAAATTTTATGATTTTCCGGATTACAGGGTGGGAAGATGGTCTAATAGTTATTTTCAAAAAATTTTACCCATTTGTTAAAATTAATATCAATTACACGTATAATAAATCGTAAATGATA